TAAAGATGATATTATACGTTACACTACACCAGCAGTAAATAATATAGAGTGTAGTCAGGTTATAACTGGTCGTTATGTAAATATCAGTAATTTTCATACAAGTAGAAATGCCAGATTTTTAGACTTATGTGAAGTTGAGATTTATGGTAAGCTTCATGTCTAGAAAAGTATCATGGTATTACATTTCCTATCGATATCCCTCTTATAGTAGTCCACTGTTCATGACAAAATACAAGGCACTCCTACAACGATTAACTCAGTCAATATAAAAAATCAACTGCACCAGCTTGGTAAATGTTGATCATGTTTTGCATCTAACAGACCTACTGAGCATTGAAGCATTCAGCAAACATATGGCCAAGAAAATTGAAAGAGTATCTCATAATTTGCCCTCAACTAATAGTTCTGAAATAAGCTTAATTAGAAACGAGAATCACTGAAACAAGTCAAAAGAAGTTTTGTAATGTTTGAACTCGTTGTTATCTATTTCTCCTTTTATAGCCTGTGATAATGGTACATATGGTGCTGGATGTGATAAATTATGTTCAAATAGAAATTGTTTATTAGAAACATCACTATGTAATCATATCAATGGTAGCTGTATTGGTGGATGTAAAGATGGATTTAGAGGAATTGACTGTGTTAAAAGATGTGAAGGTGGTGTTTATGGAGTAAGATGTAGTAAGAAATGTTCAGATAGAAATTGTTTAGTAGAAACATCACCATGTAATCATATCAATGGTAGCTGTCAAGGTGGATGTAAAGAAGGATTTAGTGGAATTGACTGTGTTAAAAGATGTGAAGGTGGTGTTTATGGAGCAGGATGTAGTAAGAATTGTTCAGATAGAAAATGTAAAGATAATAATTTACAATGTGAGAGTACAACAGGAGAATGTATTGATGGATGTCGACCAGGATACCAGTCAGTAGATTGTACACAAGGTATGTTTCATTAAGCCAATTTATGTTTACAGAATAATGCATTTCACATCCATATGCAGAGTGAACGTCAGCAATGTTTTATTAGATTTTAGGGAAGGGAACGTTTTTGCTCTTTGGCTTTATTATTGTATAAAATGTCACCAAAATGTTAAATTCTACATCAGAAAAATATGTTTTGGTGGTCAAATTGTTTATCGTCTACTGGGTTCCTCAGGTTTCCACATTTAAATATCATCATTGATTTTCTTTGTATGTTATCCCATTTCCAACCACACAAACTGGAACAAAATTTAAACACGCATCTTGTTCATTTTAATTCAAGAATGCGATAATGGAACATATGGCCAGGACTGTCAGTACAACTGTTCAGCGAGATTCTGTCAATCAAGCGATTTGTGTAGTAATTTGGATGGAGCTTGTGTCTGTTTAGATACATATCAGGGAATAGATTGTACTGTTGAAAAAGGGGCTGTAAGTTCGGGAAAAGGTGTTCCAGGTAAGAGAGCTAGAAAGAGAAATTCAAAAGATGTTTAATGGTCTAGACTATGAAACCTATCCATATATTATTCTAGCCAAACGTTATGTCTAACAGTGATGTCATAATCTGCACAAGTTTTCTTTCTGGAATAACCGAAACCATGCAATATGGTGCAAATAAAAGCTGTAAATATTTCTGAAGAGATGCGATAGCCTATCCAAAATCTATTGAATAAAGACATACTAAAAAGGCTGCAGCCAATGGATCACGGATCCAATACTTGGTTTGTCTAAAAGATGGGATCAAGATCTATGTTAGAACATCTGATGCAAGAGAACAACGACCTCAAATGTACCTATGTTTTGAAGTTTAACTTGTATTTCAGAAAATCCTGAAGATTCAGTCACAATCATAATAGCAGCCGTTGTTTCTGTTTGTGTTCTACTCATCATTATTGTTGTTTGTGTTGTACTGATTATCCGGTAAGATTTTCTAACAGATGCATAAGCTGGGTTCTGAACGTCTAGATTTATAACTCATATTCGTAAATGTGGTATCTTTAAATGTCGTTGCGATGTGGTACTGCATATCCTGAGAAGCATTTTCTCAATTTGTTTTTAAAGGCTTGTATTTCTACGCCAAGCAAAGCAGCGAGGAAAGTTCAAATGTAAGATTGGTACTTTAGTGAAGACAAAATCAAAAATTTTTTTATGAAAACAAAACAAATATTGCAAATTCTATTATACCACTGTCGCATAAATTTGTCAACTGTTCGAATTGCGGTGAATATTTTAAGTTTGCAAAAGCTAACAAGAAATACATATCTCAAAGCTACTTTGACTACTTACAGGAGAAGACGTGCACCACCTCCTGTTGACGACGAAACATCTGACAAGTCTGTTACAAGAAACATGGCTGTTGTAAAACAACAAGCACAAGGTACTGTACTAATCTTTGAAAATTAATTTATAGTAACGTTATCAGAATTAATATTTGTTTTTTCATGTGACTCAAAATCATTTGAGAACCTAGCCAAGTAGAACCTGTAGCCATATAATAAATTGGACTTGTTGCTGATTACGTCGTTTATCAGAGACGCACATTTTGTTCCATTTGGCAGGCTAAATACATGTTTCAGGTCCAATATATGAAAACTCCGATGTAATAAGAGAAGGTTCTGTAGCACGAGTAACAGTCGAACCAGTGTGTAATGTTTACCAGAATGAACAACCTGAAGCTGAAGCCGAACTGGAGAATGAAGCTGAGCCTTCAACCGAGACGGAAGAAGATGATATCAGTCCCTACATTTTGCCTGATAAATCCGATTATAATCTGGCAGAATTGGAAGAGTTTGTGAAAAAGACCAGGCCGAACGATGGATTTGATCCGTTTTATAAGGTACCGATGACCCATCCATTTTAGTAGCCTAACATATTTGCATAGATTTGTTCTCCTGGAATATAATTATGATGATTGATTTTTTAAAAAGGGATACTTAAGTTTATATGAATCCATTGGACGGTTGTTCTTGAGCATATGAGAATGGATCAACTTTCAAGCTACATTTCGTTTAAATTCAAAATTAGTCAAAAAATGTTTTACGGTTTGATGTCTATATTGATCCTATATCCGTTTTGTCAGAAAAAAAAATAAGCAATTAACGCGATTTTGCCAGGTCAAAATTTAGTTAGTCATTAAAAAGTTATACGGTCGATACTTCAATATTAATAACATTTTATGCACCCACATGAAATTTGGGGCGCATATTGTCGTTGTGAACACTCTAGAATTCTTGATGGATTTTGACGCAACTTGGTGTATGTGTTAAAGCGTTTAAAATATAAAAAAAATGGAAAAGATCTCATATGAGTTATTGTCCATGTTCTTGATAACGCATTTAATTTTTTTTTTGGTCGCAAACACATTAAAAGGCACCATTCTTCAAGATTTTGACGAAAGTTGGTGAAATATACTTAGTGATAAACTCTAAAGAAAATCGACAAATAAATATATATATACGAGCTATTGCCCTTGTTCTTGTTTAATTTTTAGCTCGTAAAATGTCTAGAAGGCACAATTTTTGCCAGATTTTGTTCCATGTTCAATACTACACAAGAAAGTTCAAAAGAAACCTATGACTAAAGCCAAAGCCAGTGGGCGTTTATTACCTTGCCTGGCAACCTATCTTTCAAATGTACTAATCTTATTTAGTTACGGATTATGATGATTGACCTACTTTTACATTAAAAAAAATCAAATACAAGTTATTTCCCTTGAGGTGGAAATGTTTTGAAAAAATGAAGTCATGAAGAAACAGTATAAAAAATAAACTATTAAATTTTTTTTTGTACATTTCAAAATCATTTTATCCTTTACAACAAAGATTATTTTATTTTTTAGGGATGCCAAATACC